CTAGCCAACAAATACAGTTGCTCATCAATACTCTCATCACCCTGACATTCTTTTCGCAACCAATTGCTGAAAGTTTCCATGTGCTGACGCGTAATCCAAGCTTCAGACTTCCCTGGAAACTCGGATCGGAGCAACTCTTTATGTGTCTCGATATACGGATCCATCAAGGAGGAGTTTTGCAGAACTGTGTAGTGTGCTTTATTAAAATAATTATCCTGCGTACCAATATATGTTTTCTTCCCTAGTGTCCCCTTTCCACTTAGTCTCCCCTCGTGTCGTGATTCAGGATAACCAATCAGGTCAAGGTCGGGAATAAATTCAACACAAAACTCAATGACCTCCTCTGTTCCATAGCCCTTGGCGATGCTTCCTTCTGGCCGAGCACGGTTGTGAACATATTTCTTTAGGACTCCCATGAACCTCTCAAAGGGGAACATGTTGTGCAGGAACACAAGACCGAGAATGCTAATCTCCTTGACCAGGTGAACTAGGAGGTGTGTCATGATATTAAAGAAGGAAGGAGGGAACACCAACTCAAAGCTAACAAGACATTGAACCACATCATTCTGTAAGTTTAGCTAGATCCATTAGATCGATTGCCTTCTGAGAAATTGCATTGAGGAATGCACATAGCTTCACGGTGGCTAGACGTACATTTGGAGGTAGAATTCCTCTTAATGCAACTGGAAGCAATTACGTCATGAGCACGTGGCAGCCATGGGACTTTAAGTTTAGGAATTTCTTCTCTGGCACATTTATTATACCCTTTATATTCGAGGAGAATCCAGATAGTACCTTGATGCTTGCTAGGCATTCAAACATGCTTTCCTTCTCTTCTTTGCTAAGAGTGTAGCTGACAGGACTTAAGTAATGGCATCCATCATCTGTCTTCTCTGGATATAGGTTGTCTCATTCTTTCAAACATCGCAGGTCCTGTCGTGCTTCAAGTGTGTCCTTAGGCTTCCCATACACACCCATGAAGCCTAGCAGGTTCACACAAAGATTCTTCGTCAGGTGCATCACGTCGATTGCGCTACGGACCTCTAGGACTTGCCAATAGGGTAGCTCCCAAAATATGGACTTTTTCTTCCACATGGGTGCGTGACCGTCGGCGTCATTCGGAACAGGTTCGCTGCCATGTGCCTTTCTAAATACTACTTTTACATCCTTGACCATATTGAGTACATCCTCACCAGTTCGGTTGCCCGACTTGGTCTGGTGGTCTGCCTTACCTTTAAAATGCTTGTCTTTCTTTCTTAGGGGGTGATTCATAGGAAGAAATCGACGATGGCCAAGGTACACGACCTTTCGACATTTTTTCAAGAATATACCTTTAATGTCATCGAAACAGTGCGTGCATGCATTATATCCCTTGTTTGATTGTCCTGAAAGATTACTTAGAGCAGGCCAATCATTGATTCTTACGAACAACAATGCTCGTAGGTCAAAGTGCTCCTGTTTGTGCTCACCCCACACACGTACACCTGGTCTGTTCCACAAAAGTAGAAGTTCTTCAACTAGTGGCCTCAGGTACACATCGATGTCGTTGCTAGGTTGCCTTGGGCCTTGGATGAGCACTGGCATCATAATAAACTTACGCTTCATGCATAACCAGGGAGGTAGGTTGTAGATACATAGAGTAACAGGCCAAGTGCTATGACTATTGCTCTGCTCCCCGAAAGGATTCATACCATCCGTACTTAAAGCAAACCTTAAGTTTCTTGCGTCATTTGCAAACTCTGGGAATTCTCTATCGATTGCTCTCCACTGGGACCCATCAACAGGGTGTCTCAACATATTGTCTACCTTACGGTCTTCTTTGTGCCATCGCAATAACTTTGCATGGTCTTTGTTTCTGAACAAACGTTTCAAGCGTGGTATTATAGGAGCATACCACATAATCTTGGCAGGGATTTTCTTCGTGGGATATTCGCCCTCAACATCACCAGGGTCATCTCGCCTGATCTTATACCGCGATGCATGACATACCGGGCATGCATGTAACTTCTCGTACTCCTCGCTACGGTAGAGGATGCAGTTATTAGGACATGCATGTATCTTCTAGATTTCTAATCCCAAAGGGCAGACTACCTGTTTTGCTTCGTATGTAGTGACAGGCAATTCATTATTCTTCGGAAGCATCTTCTTTTGGATTTTTAGTAACTCCCCAAATCCCTTGTCAGATACATCATTCTTTGCCTTCCATTGCAGCAATTCTAGTGTGGTACCCAACTTTTTCTGTCCCGCATCACAAGTTGGGTATAACAATTTCTTGTGATCCTCTAGCATGCGCTCGAACTTGATCTTCTCCTTTTCACTTTCACATTCTCTTTGTGCGTCACGAATGGCCTGACCAAGATCATCAGCGGGCTCATCTTCTGCCACTACCTCTTCTTCAGCTTCCCCCATTGCAGTATCATTGAAGGCACCATATTCAGCAATAATGTCATCATCGTCCCATTGTTCTTCTTCACCTTCTTCCATTACAACCCCGGTTTCTCCGTGCTTCGTCCAACAAATATAGTTTGGCATGAAACCCAACTTCAACAAGTGTGAATGAAGACTCCTTGAGCTAGCATATTCCTTCAACTTCTTACATATGGCACATGGGCAGCACATAAAACCATCGCATTTGTTTGCCTCGGCCACACGTAAGAAAGAATGCACGCCCTCAATGAACTCTTGGGAGCGGCGATCAACATTGTACATCTAATGCCGGCTCATCTGCATTATATGACATACATACCATATTAAAACCTAGAACATAATTAGTTAATTATACGACATGCATGCCGCCACACAAGGTATTAATTTATGAAAGTCTCGCTACAATGTAGACAATCCCAACTACCACTAAAAAAACTAAAGCTAAAATGCACTTCAGCAGCATAAGAATTTCACGACCAATCTCAACTAAAACAGACAGATGCGTTTGTTCAACATCTATGGGCTTCTTCCGCATGATCACTGCCTCATCAGCCGCCGTAGCCGCCTGTGCAAGAGAGTTTTGCACGTGTTCAACATAGTCTTCCTCCCAGTACCAGTCTGAACATCCAGTGCCATCCCACTGAAATTAAAACAACAAATTAGAACTTTAATCACAATCATCATGAAAATAAGTATAAATTAACCATAATCATCAAATACGACAAAATAACTCACATTGCGATCTGGACACTTGTAGAAGATACGGCCCTTGTTGGGACACTCCTTCCTCACTCGGTACTCCATCATAATCTTCTCCTCACACTTGCCGTATGCAATGAGAGGGAGGTCCGGCCTCAGTCACTTTGAAACCCGATGAGAGGCCGAGGACTTGGAAGCAGTTGTCATCTACTCTCTATACTCATTTTTAATATAATATAAATTTCTCAGTTTATAAACAAATAAAATAAAATAAAAACTCTAAAATTCTCTATATCTCTAAACCATAAAGTGTGCTATGCATGCTAGAAATGAAAGCTGAATACTAGTTTTGAATAACTACTTTAACCTTCCTTCATCCAAATATGCAAACTTTAAAGTGATTTTGAGCTTAAATGGCTTACAAATAAAAAAATCGACCATAAAAAACACATATATCTAGTCCACAAAATAAGATATGCTACTGATGAAACATGAGAGTATAAAGTTGGTAACCTTTAGAACCGAAGAATCGATGGAGGAATCAAAGAAATCTTGTGATTACTGGCGATGAGGAAGAAGAGAGGCCGGCGATGAAGCAAGGACACTGAGCTTGAAGTGGCTCGGGCTCGGGGAGGAAGAAGGGCTATATAGGAGGGGACCTTTAGTCCCGGTTGATGATAGAAACCAGGACTAAAGGTCCCTTTCTAGTCCCGGACGGAGCCTCCAGCCGGGAGTAGAGTTATACTCCCGGTTGGAGAGACCAACCGGGAGTAAAAGTTAACCTTTAGTTCCGGTTGGTAGCTCCAACCGGGACTAAAGGTCCCCTGCAGCAAAAGCCTGCTGCAGTAGTCATTGGAGAGGGACCTTTAGTCCCGGTTGGAGATACAAACTAGGACTAAAGGACTCTCTAATCCCAGGCGCGAAAAATACCGGGAGTAAAGCCAAATTTTGAGGTGGAATCAAATATCGTTCTCTACTAGTGATTTTTATTATGTTTGCTCTACACACGTGACACGATACACGTATATATCTAATATCTAAAGCTAAGAAACATCACAAGTCAACGACAAAGTCTCACGTGCATTTCCCATCTCCCATCGCAGCAGTCAATCCTCCGATTTTTTGGGAGCCGACATGTACGTCCACCACGGCCTCCCGTGCTAAGCCTCAGCCTGCAATCGCGTGGAACACCCCATCGTCCCTGAGATCTCACACGTGTAAATCTTTTGCTCGCCATCCACACGACATCCACCCCCCCCTACCTCTCTCTCTCTCTCTCTCTCTCTCTCAAGCGATATCAAATCACCATCGCCGTTGTGCCATGACCTTCTCCATCTTGATTGTTTTGTCTTGCTCTTGCCCTAGACCATTGCATCATCATTTTCGTTTTTTTTTTGTGTAAGCATAGTCACTACTAGAAACGGGAATATTCCCTAATGGTGTGGTCACCGACAAGAAAGTCAGTTGGCTATGTGGCTGGGCTTCTAACCTTAATGAATACTACGAGGCCAGCTCAATCTACTTAGCGGGAGGCTTCCTAAGCATTAAAACTACAAAAACAAAGGTTATTGTAGTTTTCTTCTATCAATCTATATTGTAATGTTGTAAAGTCATATGACGGAATAGAGACTAGGTTGAGCAAGCACCATTTTCCACTGCCAAGTTTTTTTTTTTTGTAATTCAAGTTGACTTCTTTGAATTTTCTCTATTATGTAAGGAAAAAAATAACATATTCACAACTTATTAATACTACTCACAATGGACAGAAAAATAGTAAGGAAATGACTTCAAGATAGAAGGAGGGCCCTTTCTTGAGCCAAGATTTAACATTGCATACTATATAGAAGAATAGAAGAAGAAGACAACAATGAAGATTATCGTCCCTCCACATTCGTGAGAGTAAGAGAATTCATAGAGTTATCGGCTCTATCTCTTGTTAGCTCCATATCACTACTCCCATGTCCATAATGCCCAGGGTTATTAGGTGGTGGCAATGTAGTGCTTCCATTCTCCAAGGCCAACACAACAGATGACATCACTGGCCTATCATCAGGGTTTTCTTGGGCACACAAGAGTGCCATATGACTACAAAGTAGCACTTCATCCAATGAACAAGTATCCACAATACAAGGGTCTGCCAAATCTTTTCCCTTCCCTTCTTTCAACATATTCCATGCCTAAAATAACCAAAACAATTATTTAGATTGTGGTAATTATAACGCTTTTCATTGAAAATATAGACTACACTACCTTAATTTAGAACTGTACAGAAGTCATATACTCACATAGATCATAAGGTTGGGAAAATTCTTGATTTTGTTAAAAGTGCTTCTCCTTATACCAGTTACAAGCTCCATGATCAGGACACCAAAGCTATAGACATCAGACTTGATAGAGAAGATTCCTTCCATTGCATACTCAGGAGCCATGTAGCCACTATTTTGACCATTCACATCTAAAAGTTATCACAAAAACGTTGAATCTAATCACATTAATTTTGAGCAATTAATTTAAATGTATACTTACTATGTTCCCACGACTCGTCGTGTATTTGCATTTTTCTGGTTGTCATTGAAGATCCTTGCCATGCCGAAGTCTGCTATCTTGGGTCTCATCTCTGCATCGAGCAAAACATTGGCAGCTTTGAGATCTCTATGAACTATGGTCAATCTTGAATCTTGGTGCAAGTAAAGAAGTCCTCTTGCAACCCCTTTGATTATGTTAAATCGCGTTGGCCAATCTAGCAACACTTTTCTTGAATTATCTGTTTATTACATATTCAAATAAAAGCATTGCATGTAAGATGTTTGTTATGAGAATAATAAAAAGATTCAAGTTATGGTGTGTATTATCAAATCATACCAAAAAGGATAGCATCTAAGCTTCTATTAGGCAAATACTCATATATCAGGATCTTTTCACCACCCTCCACGCTGTAACCAAGCAGCCGAACCAAATTTCTATGTTGCAATTTGGCAATTAGGATAACTTCGTTCCTGAATTCCACAGTTCCTTGTTCTGAATCTTTACTTAGCCTTTTGATAGCAACTTCCTGACCACCAATCAAGGCCTTCGCAAAAAAAAAAAAAAGATTAGTCTGTCATATGGACAATTCAATCTAATCAGATAAGTCGAACTGATATGAGAAATCCACTACTAGTAGATACTACTAAATGGGGCCAAATACCTTATACACTTTCCCAAAGCCTCCTTGTCCAATCTTGTACGCCTCTGAGAAATTGTGGGTTGCAGCCTCAATGTCCTCAAATTTGACGAAGGGAAGTTCAAAATCTTGTGCTGAGCTTCCTTCGGTGAGGTCGTCAGAGATACCCGTAGCACCATGACTTATCTTATTGTTATTATCCTCGTTATTATTCCCCCTCTTACCTAATAATAAACCGAAGTTTCAGTAACCAATTCTCAGTACTTGTGTCGAAATTTGAAGTTTATTTGTACCTTTGAATTTAAACCAGGCAAGGAAAATGCCTGTGATTATGAGAATGCAACTTGTCAAAACCGTTGGCAAAGCAATCCTCAGTGCATTATTGCTCTTTCGTCTGACACCTATGCAAAACCAGTATACAAACAAACCTTAGAAGAAGTTCCCCCAAAAAAAAAACTTAGAAGAAGTCTCGTGCACACATGTAGCACAAAGTCATCATCAGATCAATGGTTACTGGTGGAGAAGATAAAATAAGTGGTTACCTTGCATGGCTGCATCCAAGTTTGAAAGCCGGATGTACAGCGTGTCGGTGCCGACCACGTTAGCTACCTGCTTCTCCGTGTCGATGAGGTCGCCGGCCCACACCAAGCACCTCGTCACGTCCCCCGTCTTCTTGGTGGTGCTCAGGTTGGCATAAGCGTACGCCACACAGGAGCAGTTGCCGGTGCACGCCGCCCGGCACTCGTCAGAGGTTCGGTTCGCGATGAGCACGAACCTGTCCGGCGATTTCATCCCCTGCAAGGCCAAGAATCCGTCGTCGGCGCACCACAGCGGCTCCTGTCGCCGGCAACCCTGCGAGAAGGCCCCGCGGGTCCACTCCTCCGAGTCGGCAGGCTCGAAGCCGTCGAGGCACCTGCACGTCGGCGCAGCCATGGTGTTGTCGCAGTAGCCGTAGGGGCCGCAGTGGCCGTACCGGTTGCACTCCCAGGTCGGCCAGGAGCTGAGGACCGACCACGCCGACGAGCTGGCGCTCCAGCTCTGGAGCTGGTACTGGCCGGAGGCCGTGACGACGAACCTGGTGCGCGCGGCGCCGTCGGAGAGGGTGTAGGTGAGGTAGATCTCCTCGTCGGTGCTGACGACCGCCTTGTAGACGAAGACGCTGGCGTCGGCCTGATACTGGCTGGTGACCGAGAAGCCCGTCCAGGGCCCGTCGCGCATCAGCAGGCGCGTCCCGTTCCAGAGGAAGATCTGCAGCGCCGTGTCCGGGTCCACGGCGTAGGCGAAGCTCCCCGGCGAAGGGTCGTCGGGGGTCCTCCACGACACCAGGCGCTCGCCGGCGCGCGTCCCGTAGTTGATCCGGAGCTTCATGCCGGGGAGGAACGAGTCGGCCGGGTGCTCGAAGCTCTGCCACAAGGTACTCCCGTTCGGGTGCCGGACCACGAGGTTCCCGGTGTCGAGAAGCACCGCGGTGGGGGACGGAGAGGAGCTGGGGACGACGACTCCGGTGACGTTGGTCGTCCAGAGGATACGGCCGCTGCCGTCCGACAGGACGAGGTTGGCCGTGTTGGTCAGCGACAGCGTAGGTGCGGTGCTGTTGGTGGCCGGGGCGTCTCTGTTGGCCACCCACACCACGGTGCGCGTTGGCACGTCGGCGTACCATATGCCGAGGTACAGCTTGCTGTTGGCCGGAGTGGAGTTGGTGGTGGGGGAGAAGAAGCCCAGGGCGAAGCCGCCGCCGTCGGATACTATGGTGGCGCCGACGGAGAGAGGCTTGTCGAGGGCCAGCCGGTCTTCGGGTGCGCATGGCGGCGGCAGCAGGAGGAGGAGCAGCAAGACTGCAGCTGACCGATCCATTGGACACTTTCCTCAGAGATACGGTGGCCCGGCTTTTTCGGTTTTCCTTTGCTGGAAAGAATGAGCTGATTAGGATTTAGGAATGTTTGTGTACAAGTACAAGCAACAACGATGTCAAAGCAGTTCTCTACTCCCCCTGTTCGTCGTCGAATATAGGAGTAATTAACCACCACAGCGACGTCATGTCTTACAGAGATGAGGGAGACAAGCAATGACAAATTGACAACGGCTGTTGCATGATGCAGTGAAAAAGGGAAGGGGTATGAAATGAATATGATGCAGCTAGCATCGTCCTGGAAGCAGATGCAGAATAATGCAGAAGTTTGGAAGTTCGGTGGAACGGTGCGTGGCACAAGGATTCAGAGTACTCAAGGTATGGTTGACATTTGGTTAAGTACAAGGGCCTCTTAGCAAAATGATGTGATGTGAAAATACAAGGGCCTCTCAACGTAAACAATTTTCATGTCCTGCGGGTTGATTTAAGGAAAGTACAAGAGCCTCTTAGCAAAATGATGCCGCCGCCGCTAGGCTACCTGCGTGGGCCGGCAGCTTCTGGTTTGATGGGCTGCGGCCTTCACGCTGGGTCGTCCGCGCTTGGTACCATGTGCGCACCTGGTGGGCCCCCAGCCGGTCGCACCGCTGGGCTGACCACGCCGCCTGTCCCGGGACCGGTGCCGCGTGGCTTGTTAGGCCGCTCACGCCCGCGCGCTGGGCCGGCCTGCGGCCGCCACGCCTGGGCTGCCTGGCCGCTGGACCTGGCCGAGCTGGCCGCTGGGTTGGTTTGGTGGCCGCTGGCCTTTAGTCTTATCAAGCACTCGTTAATTTAGTTGCGGAAATAGACTTGTAAAATTTATAGTAAATCATAGAAAAATCATAAAAATGCCAAACCAATTTTGTTAAGTTTCTAAAATCTTGATCTACCTAATAGTGTATTTTGTCGCATAGGTTTGATATGTTTTTAGGGTTGCTATAATTGATTTAGAGTGTTTAATATTATGAAAAGGTGAACTTGTAGAAATTTCTATGATAAATCGGTGATAGTATTAACTGTAAAAATTGTACAGTAAATTACTAATATTATTATCTGCTCACTGTAATTTTTGTAGCTCTAGAATAATTAGTTGCTAGATAGATAATAATGCCCTATTTCGAATAATGATTAAATAGATATAATGGAATAAAGCAACAACTTGGGTTTATGTAACTAAAATAATTGTTGGGAAATGACACTTTTCTTGACGATGTTGATACGTAGATTAGTACGTTCGTCGTTAGAACTAGCTCGTTAACTTGAGAGTCATAAATCATATTTTTACGAGTCACGATTGCAGTCGATTAATTATGTCTTTGCATTTCATCGCATTGCATATCATATAGGTCCGATGATGGATCAACAGATCAAGTGAAGGATGATTGGAAATTCGAAGATGGTGTAATGGCATTCTCTCAAGGAGATGATGCTATGGGCTTTCTATCCAGTTGATGGTGAATGATCTGAAGATGCAAATACTAACTTTTGGTTATATTTTACCCAGACAAGCCCCGGTGCATAACCCCTACTTTTCTGCAGCTTAAATTATATTTGTGCATTAAGTTTTAAGAAGTTGAATGAAACCCACTTGCATATATATATATATCTTTATCCTATGAGTCTTACTAGTATGACAGGATTGTGTAGATTGCTATGCTATAGGACTCCAGTAGAAGTCGAGTGATGGCTGTCACTTGCAAGAGATAGGAAATATATTATTGGATTATTATCACTTGGAATATATAAAAATGGTGGAAAGGAAAAATGGTGACCAGGTAGGGATATGATTTGGGTATTGGTGGGTGTAAGAGGTTGTGTCGCCGTGGACGCGGGGCATAGCTTGGTTACACTGCTTTCCCTGTCTGGTCGGTTAAGGACCGGTCGTTGCAACGGACGCAAGGCAAGTCACAGATCTATTGTCCTGAGCATATACTTGGGTATGGGCACTTAGAAGACTTGTTGCTCTCTTGTCGTGGATCCGGCTCTTTCCAGACCAATTGTCATGGTGGTTTTTAGGTTAGGAGGTCCTTGCACCGCACTGAGTCTGGAACTCAGGGGCAGGGGCTTGGAGTCCTAGTTTGGACGGGGACCTGGACACCTAGGACAGGAGGGTGATGGGTTGGTCCTGCTTGTGCCCAGGGTACAAGCGGGGCGTGTGTTTTCGGGGCACCCAGCTAGGCACATTGGTTCACGAATCGCCGCTGAGTCGGTACGACTTGTCTTACCTCTAGCATCGTAGTAAGAACTGATAGATGAAAGGTGATGAAATAGAAAAAAGGAAATATGATTGCTTACCACCTGCTTGAGAGTAGCACAGGTGCTTACATAGAATGGTTAGTTAATGAACCAATACGGCTATTAATAAAAATCGAATATAAGGACCCACACTTAATAATGCTTCCTACAAATACAATAAACTCACAAGCCAGATAGCCTTGCATATCCTTGAAGTCTTTTCTTTCCTCTTGTCGGGTAAGTCTTGCTGAGTACAATTGAGTACTCAAGGTTTTATTCCCCCTGTTGCAGGTGACAGGTGGATGCTAGAGCTAACCCTTGTGTGTGGATACCTTCTAGTGGGCTCAGAAAGGATTTTCTTTACGCTACGATCATATTTTTTATTTATAACTCTCACTAAATGTTTTTATGAATGAAAGTATTATAATCTGTGATCATAGTTTATATATCAATGCTTCGTCATTTCATGAATAGGTATTTATTTCCGCCGTAACTCTGATCACATGTTTATATTCCGCTGTTCAATTAAATTGTTCATAACTCTGATAATATGATTACATTCCGCTGTTAGAACAATAAATATTATACTCTGACGTTGTATTAAAAGTGATGTAATAAATGGTTAAGAATGATGTAAGCTTTATTCTCTTATTTGTGATCCTGATGGTAAAAATGTGGATTTTTGGGTTCTCCCCTGGGGTGTGCCCGATGGAACCGAGTAATTTAGTGTTCTCCCTTAGGTGCTTAGTGTCTAATGGAATACGAGCACTCCTGGGAGGCATTAGATTAGGCGGTTCTGCCACAAAAAGTGACCGGTTTTTAAAAGTTGAGGGAGTTAAAAACCTGATTTCCATCTTCCTTAGCTTAGCAGTCGCTACCTCATGTCCAATTTATAAGGCATTTTACATACGTCAGGAGTCAAAACTTTGTAATATTTGACCAACAATTTTTAACAATTGCAATACAAACTTGATACTATTAGATTTATGATGAAATATACTATCCAATAATCATAAGTTTACAAATACAAATAATATAAAATAAAATAAATGAAGGTCAAAATATAATTTAGGAGGCCGTGTCATGTTTTACTACGCCTTATAAATTGGATCGGATCGAGTATGTTGCTTAACTTCATGTGTGGTCTCTTATGTCATTCCCATCATACTTATCATTAGTGAGCTTCCTAATAAAGATGATGTCAAGGGCCTTTGTACAACCTTTAAATTGTTCTTCAACTTTGCTAAGGTATTACTTAACAGTCTTAGAATATGGGATTTGTAACACCCTTGGTGTTACACCCTAAACAGACCACTAAACCCTATCATGAGCATCATGATTATGTGATAATGCATGTGATAGAATATGTAGATAAATTTCTTGTAACTTAAAATGACCAATAAAAATGTGAAATGAAAGTTGATTCAATAGCTCATTTATATCAGGTAGGGTTGAAAACCAATTTTTATTAAGCAAAAATACTATAGAACATATATGTGATACTTAAATAAAGTTTGAAGTACAAACTTTATAGATGACAATGCAACTTTTGCTGTAGAAAAATAATATGACTAGCTAGTATTTCTAATGGCTTGGAAATGGAACTTGAAATCAAATTCAGCTCAAGACTTGGAAGAATTTTAAGTTTGAAAACAGTATGACAATGCCATGTTGGTGAATTAATTTCAGAAAATTTAGCTAAAGGTCAGTACTATGTTTTTATTTCTTATGGTAGTTTGATGTACCCTCTTTAGCATAGTGAAGGCGGTTTAGCTCCAACTTCATTAGTTTAGTTTGTATCAACGCTTTAAAATTCATGCACGACACAGCCTCGGGATGTTTGGTGCCATGTGTGCGGTCACCACGCGGCCACCCCACGCCACGTTCATGGCCGCATCCCGCATGGCCACCCCATGCCGCCACGCTGGGTTGGTCGAGCCCGCCTGGGCTTGGCAGAGGCCGGCCGCAGCGAGCCACTGGCCCCGCGCCCTACTGCCCTGCCACACGCTGCCACCATTGGTGCCGCCACGACCGTGTTGCGCTGCCGTCGCCTCGCCGTCGCATCTGCACCCCCCTGCAGCTTTGCACCGCTGTTCTCCCTATCGGTAGCCCTGCCGTTGTTGCGCGCACGCTTGGCGTATCCGCGGCATCAATACATGGCCGTACCTGCTGTCGTCTCGCCCATAAAGGTGCGGCAGCTGCTCATGCCGTGTCGGTCGCGGATGTGCGCATGCCTTGTCCATAGCGCCTGCATGTGTGCATCTTGATCGCGCCGCTCGCATCTCGCCAAGGTGAGGACGAGCTGAGCGCTGACTGCCTCTCTCTCTGCCACCGCGACCGGCCGACCCTGCTCGCCCAATTCAGCATGGTTAGATCACCTCAACTCAATTCGACTCGTCCTTGGCTTCTCCATTAAGCCACTGAAAGGTTCTTGTTGGTTTTGGTAATTGAGTGACAACCTAGGTGGACTAATTGTGTTTATGTGAGATACACAGGTGATTAGTCCACAGGTACATGTGTGTGAGCAACATATGCCATGGAGGTGAAAATGGCTTGGAGATGTTGCAAAGCTCACACATGTGATGATGAAGGAGCTTATTGCACATGAGACATGACATTGAGTCATGTGATCAAGGTGGAGAAGATCAAGACAAGACTCGGCTTCATGGACCGGTTGCAAGCGTGAAGGGCAAGTCGAAGGCTTTGGAGTGATGGACCGCGTGGCGGTGAAGCT